GTGTGAGTTTTATACCTCGTCCACTTAGGATCGAGTGTGGCCTGGCACTAAATAGAACAAAATGGCGCCCAACTGTCAGTGTGTGAACACCGCGGCAAAACGCAATGCGCATGAGCACTAAATTTAATATCCGGTCAACTTCTTATTTCCGGTCTAGTATATAAACCAATAGCGTAAGCATAACTTTGCCGTCGCGCCAAGTTTAAAAGCAAAAAGGGCGAAACAGACAAAAAAGGGGGCCACTTCATTCGAAAGCTTATATATTTTTCTGTTCTCAAACTTTTGCACCACATGGTTATCTGTTTGCACCAACGGTGAAAATGATGTTTGAAGTTTGCAGGTCGCGAGCGCTCGACAAGACGAATTTGTTTTTACTGGCTTTCTTGCATGCTACTGGTTTGGCGTAAGTTAATTTGGGAGAAGGCGACAACTAAGAAAAGAATAACAATACTTATGAAAGAAACCAAAATAAAGACGTCATCATTATCATAAAAAACACTAAAACCAGGAAATAAAATTTTAGTCCGTTCAATAATTTGTTTTATTATCAGAGAAAACAAGAACTCAAAACAAAAGATGGGCGGGATTTAATAACAACTTTGACTTTGATGACTGCAGTCACCGGGAAACTAAACATGCCTATAAATGACTTTCATTCAAGAAAATGCCTATTTAATTCTTTTGCATGGTTGTTCTTTTGTTGAAGACTTCAATAATTTCAGACTGTGCGGCTCGGCTGCATCTCATGCAAACACGAAACTTCTAGCTGCTAAATACATGGCATGAAAAGTTCGACTTCTAAAAGCCACTGAACCAGCTTTCGCTCTCTGATTCTGAGAATGAAAAAATAAATAAATAGAGTTATCAACTTGCTGTCAACCGGCTCAACAGTATAATTAAGCTTATGTTTCATGGCAATCAACCCAGAAGAGTTTCGTTTTAAAACACGGTAAAACCCACTGGTAAACAAAACTACAAAGGGATTGTGTGTTGTCGTTTTCCAAATAAAGTTTGAATCGGCTTTAACACATGTAGACTGAGAAACTGAAGAACTAAAAATTAGAACTACAATACACAAGCTTGCAATGATAACGTTTTAATTTTATGTCTTAGTTTCAGCCAGGTTAAGTGAAAAATAACAGTCAAAAACTTTATTTTCGTGAATGAAAATCAGTTTACCTGACACTCTAGCCAAAATTACACACTGAGTTATTATCATCTTACCTTTTCTGAATCTAATCGACTAATTGTTTCAGTGATCTGTGCCTGGTTATCCATAAAAGCAATTTCAATAACTGCAAAATAGTCAAAAACACGAGCAGCATAAAGCAGAACAACTGAACCACAAGCTGCACAAAGAATGAAGCGCGCGGGAGACTTTGACTGGAAAGTGTGACTGAAAAAGAGACCGGAACTGCTCAATCCGGCGCATGCGTAGACGTTTTGCCGCGGTGTTCAGTGTGTGTGTGAATCATAACAAGCTGTTTCGTGGGCTAAAAATATTTTAAAAACGTTGAGAGGATTCAGTTACTTCATGGTTAAAAGGAGACTCTGATACCATGAGGAAGAGCAAATATTTGAGCGATTGATTTTTCGTTTGAACATCCGCCTACAGTCAAGGTTTTGATATGTGAACGAGAATGAAGGGTGAATATATCACATTAATTTAAACAATTATCAAGCAGGGATAACTTGTAATTTTCCACAACCATCTTGCGGAACTTTGTTGCAATCAGACAACATGGGCGACTCGCAGATTGTCTCCATCACAGTTTCCCTTTCAGGGAATACCTGAGCAGAAAGGTAAGTACGACTAACATGTCCATCTTTTTCATCAATTAGCAACTAAGGGCTCAAAATGAAAAAATACAATGTTTCTTCACTGAACGATACATGTATCTTTACAAACACAGTGGTCTGCTTCAGGAAGCCACGTAGCTCTTTACAAGGCCTCGCAGTATTGGCTATGAAAACAAAAGACAAAGAAAAATTAGTAATGACTCTATCCCTATAAAACAATAGGCCCTTTGCATGACTTGATCACGTGATCAACTTTATCTAAACACAGAAACAATTCACTTTTGAAAAATTTTGTTAGCACAAGCTGAAAGAGCATATTAAAATTAGGTAACCTGAGAATTTTCAGTCGTATATCTCAAAAGTAGCTGTTGCAATGGCCGCCGAAAGTTGGAAGCGTTTGTATGAGAAAAACAACTTTTGTCATCCAGTCACGCTTGCATGGTTTTCCATACAAATCCTTGTAATTTCGAAATTTTCAAAACTGTCATGAAATATTTCCTTAAGCATTACAGGGCTTAAATCTCCTTTTAATTGGCAATTTGAGCCTTAAATGCGTAAAGGTAAGATTTAACAACAGTTTTAAAATTTTAGAATTTACAAGGATTCATATGGAAAACCATGCAAACGTAACTGGGTGGCAAAAGTTGTTTTTCTGATACAAATTCTTCTAACTTTCGTCGGCGGTTGGAATCGCTACTTTTGAGACATACGGCTGAAAATTCTCAGATTACCTAATTTTAATATGCTCTTTCAGCTTGTCCTAAGAAAAAAAAGTTCAAAAGTGAACTGTTTTGGTGTTTACCGAAAATTGGTGACGTGATCAAGTTATGCAAAGAGCTTATTGAGCTGCGAGTTATGGAGAACCAATGAAATTAGAGGTTTTTAGGAGCTGCGTACTTAACTGGGGCCTGTTTTCTTGTACCCTGTTAGCAGAGTCGCTCTGATCTTTCCTGAAGGGAAAGATCAAAGTGGCTTTGCTAGCAGGGTACTCTTCCTGCATACTAGGTGTATACATGTTGCCAACTTTCCCAGATTATCCGGGAGTTTCCCACATACCCCTTTCATCTCCTGTGCTGCCATACAGGTCACCAAATCTCCTGGATAAAATGGACTTTAGCTTATCTGTGCTTTAGTTTGAAATTTGGGCCATTTTTTTTCTCAAAATTCAAACTTTTTTTGTTCATTGTACGGTTTCTGGGACACTTTTACACGTATTTAGTCACTGAAAAAGATTATTTTGCCATACACTGAATGCAAATTATATGGCAGACCTCTTGATCGGCCTGGGTCTAGTTGCACAAAAGCAAGGCTAGTAAGGCCTCAAGAGTGTTGTTTTGACCACGAGTCTTAACAATTGAGTCGATCGATAAGGTTTGCTTCAAGTTGTTGCATGCCTGAGCGCCACCAAAAAGGAGATTTTGCTCTAGCTGGAACTACCTTTACTTTCCCAAGATCTTTTCGCAAAGAAAGTTAAGGATTCATGCAATTCGGCATGGTGATGAGAAGCACTTTACAGTGACAACGCAAGTGTGCTCACTTCACTTGCTTCATAAGAGAGGACTCACGAAAGTATTTGAATGAAAGAATTTTAGCAAGAGATGGTGCTGTTCCATGATGTTTGCATGGTCTGTTATTTATCCAACAAAAGGTAAACATTCTCGATAATGGGAACTTCGGCTGTCGACTTTGAGATCTTTTAGGATGGCTGGTTTTTGAATGGGGGGTTCAGATTAAGGAACTGACCAAATTGTGACCCTTCATTTAATTTTTTAAAAGTTGCTGACAAGAAATTAAATCTTTGGATTTCATTTTTCAAAGGGTGCCCACAGGAAATTGAGGGTTCGGGTTTCAGCCATCTTAAGCATGGTGCAGACAATAGGATGTAGGGTTCTAGGGTTAGGGCAGGGGGGGAAGCTACTTCCCATCCCGGCTTCCCATACATTCTCTTAAATGAAATCCAAACGATGTTCTCACAACCTGCAAAGTGATCAGCAAGGGTCCTGCCAGCAGATTTGTGTACTGATCATGGGCATTACATCAAAATCCATAGATCAACGGTCTTGAGAACAAACAAAAACATGGCAGTCGAAGGCGGGACTGTTTCTCACTATTATATTTTGGAAATTTGCAAATTTATTGATTTCTTGTCGCTTTTCAGATGTAGTGTGTGGTTTTCTTTTTCCGTTAAAAAATTTCCCTCTGCAGAGTTTGGAACATGCAACGTATAGCTCCATACAGCTGATAAGAACCACTGGAGAGTTAAGCTATTGAGCAGTGTTTTGCTGCAAACCTTAGGAAAGTTAAAGTCGCTTCAAGGTACAGAGCTTTCAGTAGCAGTTGTGATTTGTTTATTAGGATCATTTTGAATTTTAACTTTAGATGTGAAGGTGTTGACTGATCGTAATAAACGAAGTGAAATGTTATGAAGTGTGAATGTTTATTTAGTTATGATTGTAGAGCTGTAAGCTCATATTTATAAAGCTCTCTGAAAATACTTGCTTCCGATGATGAATTTGACACTTTCTCCAGTAATTTTTATCAGCATCAAGTTATCCTTACCCGGCAAAAACGATGTAACCTATAAATCGATTGAGCGCATTGTTGTTGGTTTAGATCTAACACGGTTTCCCCCGCAATTTCAATACCGAAAGACAAATACGATATGCAAGAAAAACAAAGATGCATGATATTATTTTTTTCAATTTTTTAACCATTTCTGATTTCCCCTGCCGGTTCGCCTCTTGCTAAAAAGTCTAAAGATATTTACCGTGGGAAAAATACTGCAATTATCTGCTGACTACCATGTGGGTGACTGCTTTGCAAGTTGTGAGAACATCGTCTCTCGGTCCCAGACCTCGTCTCCCCCCGGTTAGGGTTACGGTTAGGGTGAGGGTTGTATATGTACCATTGTACATGTGATGTTAGGTCCTAAGGGAAACATTAGGTTTTGTTTTCCTGAGAGTCCTAATTTATATCATGTTCACTCAGTCTAGATGGCTGGATATTGGCAAGTTCTTGTCTTTTAATACAATATTATTTTTGGACCTCAACTTTGTGTTTGTTTATAAGCACACTTGAAGAACTTGGCCGGTATGCAACCCTTTGCATTTGAGTTGACATCGACAAAGCAGGCTTTGCCGTTGTTAACTCATGAAATGTATAATGGAAGCGGTATTTTTATTTGACACATGCATGTGCTTATGCATAAACAGCGGCTTAAGACCACCTTACAGACCTTGGACAAAGAAATGCCAAGAACTGAAGATAGGTATGTCACTCCATAAGATACATCTGCACCGATGGCCATCAGTAAGAACTTAGAGAGTTTTAGACAACAATTGTGCATGATTGTGCCTTTTGGGCCAATTTTCTTTACATGTACATCCAAAACAACAGATACTTTTATGTTCACTGAACTTTATTGCAGGAATTTAATTTTTAGGTTTTCTTTTTACACGAGAAATGTCAAAAACTTGTCAACACTTTGCTATTATAATTTCTATAATTATAAATGTTGTTATGTAAAAAAAATTTTGGCCACCAAATAATAGCATTTAACTGGTCTGTGTATATTCTACAAAGCGAATCTAATAAAACAAAGAGCTTGTGAATTGTGAATGTGTAAGATACAATTAGTTACTAACTAATAAGTACACGTATGGTCACATGTACATAACAACTCACTTTAGTGAACCAAATGAAGCATGCTTAAAAAGATATTCCTTTTAATGATAAAAATGCACTTAACCCACCAAGTAAAGGAACCGATCTTCTTTTGATTTATTCCATAGCATTAGCAACCGTCTGCAACTTGCCAAAGAAATGCACATTGAAAGACTCATGAAAAAGAATAAGGTGGGTAGTATGCAAAGGTCTCCACTGTTACAATCAGAATGCTCAATAATTGCATTCTGCTCATCATCTAATCAGATAATAATACTACAGTCAACTCTCTCTAAGATGGACACTTATGGGATGGGCACTAAGTGTTCGTCTTATAGAGAGCCAAATAAAGGGAGTAAAAAAAGGCAGGGACGAACTCTAGGTGTCCATTTTACAGAGGTGTCCGTCTTATAGAGAGTCAAATTAAGGGAGTAAAGAAAGGAAGAGACCAACTCTAGGTGTCCATTTGACAGAGGTGTCCGTCTTATAGAGAGTCAAATAAAGGGAGTAAAGAAAGGCAGGGACCAACTCTAGGTGTCCGTTTGACAGAGGTGTCCGTCTTATAGAGAGTCAAATAAAGGGAGTAAAGAAAGGCGGGGACCAACTCTAGGTGTCCATTTTACAGAGGTGTCCGTCTTATAGAGAGTCAAATAAAGGGAGTAAAGAAAGGCAGGGACCAACTCTAGGTGTCCGTTTTACAGAAGTGTCCGTCTTATAGAGAGTCAAATAAAGGGAGTAAAGAAAGGCAGGGACCAACTCTAGGTGTCCATTTTACAGAGGTGTCCATTTTGTAGAGAGTCAATTAAAGGGAGTAAAGAAAAGAAGGGACCAACTCTAGGTGTCCATTTTACAGAAGTGTCCATAATAAAGAGGTGTCTTTTAAGCATTATCTTAGGGTTATCAGGGCTGTCATTTAGAGCCAGGGGTGGGGCATTTTCCCCGGCTACTATGAACGTGGCCCTGACTACCTTCATAGGAAAATAGAACCAAAGCAAATCCCTAGCTGTTTGATTCCCCGTCTACTGTTTGTATCTACCCGGCAACTTGAAATCTTAGTCTTTACGCAAAAGTTCTGCCAAACTCACCCACCCAGTACTCTACCTCTTTATCCCTACTGGGACATAAGACCTTGATCAAGTGTTGCCACTCAATCCTGTTCGGAGCCATGGCCTGTGCTTCACCCCACATTAGACCCATCTCCTCCAGCTCTTTCATCACTTTTCTCTACCATGTAGTTTTTGGCTGGCCCCTTTTCCCCCTCCCAGTTGGAGTCCATCTCATGGGCATCCTGTTGCTGGGCATGCTTAGAACATAACCAAGCCATCACAGCCTGTGACTCTTAATAGGCTGATTTAGCAACAGAACAGGAGTGTCAGTTGATGACGGAAAAGTGTACGAAAAGGACCGAATGCAACTGACAGTGCCCAATTTCCCACTCTGCCGTTAGTTAAGCCAGTTGTTTCATTTGTGCGTGCTGTTGTCAACTGACATTCCCGATCTGTTGCCAAATCAGCCTAATACATGTATTTTGAGAGACTGTACCATACTGTCCCGCTTTTTATACAGCTCGTCATTAGTGATCTTGAAAGTTCTGCAAAAGAGGTTTCATTGTTTTGAATGGCAAAACCATTTGTCCGCAGACTGAATAATGTTACTGTTTTGTAGAGTGACAAATAATCTGGCGATAACTTGGTGGATGAGTGAAAAGGTTAATCAGGAATGGGTTGCATCTCATTGGAATTTATTGAAATCTCCCTGGTAGACTTACCGGTATTCAAATGCACAGGCATAGTTTTGATTGTGTCGTTACTTCTTTGTTTAGCCAAAAGTTCAAAGGTACCTTGGAACATACATTCACTAGGAATTTTAGTTAGAAATAGCTGACTGTTACCTGAATTCTTTGCAGAGCTAACTTGCCAGCTCTCTGTATGTACATGTACCAAGAGAGAATTATATTCACTGCTTGATTTCCATGATTGAAGTTACCAGCCTAACCAAGAATCTTCTTTCCTACTTATTGTTTGGTCAGGAATTACCAGAACCATTTCGCACCATGCTAGAGGTCATGGTTCAGTTTATGAAAAATCGAGACGTTCAAAGTGGCTCAACATCTGTTGGAGCAGATAAGTCAAGTCAAAAGTCAAAGCAAACAAGGTATTAATAATACTGCTGCAAGAGCTGTTTGTACAACAAATGAATAATTGAAAATGGTTCCTCCCAGATAAAATTGGTACCACACAAATTCAAAACATTTCAGTACCACTTTTGAGGAGTGGGGGCATGAACAGCCCAGGGAGGCTCTGCCCAAAGGGGTACCTTTTTCAGGCTTCTGGGTTGTATATGAAAGGGCAGGGAATTTACTGGTTGAAGTTAGTATATATATATATATGTCAAATCAGTCTGTAAAAGGACTTAAAAGGCTAACAGATGCATCTTGGGCCTGTTGAAATGACAAGAAAACTTCCTGGTTTAGTGATTTATTCACAAAGACAGTACATTTACAGTACTCAAAAGAAATGCATGCTTTTTGACCTTATCACCATGTAGGTATGTGAAAAAGGTTGGGAAAAGGTACCTTTTCTAGCTTGGACCTCAGGGCAGAACCTCCCTGTGCAATGTACATGCACATATCTTCATTGAGTGCCCTCATCCCCCTCCCGGGTATTCAGTCAACTCTTGAATTTTGTCTGTTGAGGCACTCCTTTCAGTGAGTTCCATGTACATGTACTTCAATGGTATGGGCACCTTTCAATGTAAACTGACATCGATGTATGTACATGTATATAAAGTTGACTCCCTCCAGTCTTCTCTTAAGTTCTTTTTAAGAATATTGATGGCCTCTTAGTACTCTCTGGTGTTCACCTACACTGTACTATGTAAGAGAGAGTCCATTTGTTAAGTATTACAATGTATGTGTAACAACTAAAGTGCATTGGTAACTTCATTTGGTGCATTTGACTGTCAGGGAAAGAAAAAAAGAATCCAGTACCAGGACAACTGCACAACCATCAAATAATGATCTCATCGATAACATGGACAAACTGGATGAAAAAAATGACAGAAAAGACTATGACGATCTATGGAAACGCCTGGAGAAACCGTCAAGCAAAGTTCACGGCTCTCCAACAGGCATAAAGTTCGCTAATGACGCCAGTAAGATGCAAGTCAGTACACAGAAAGATGATTTGCATAAAGGAGGAGGTACAGATGCAAGTGATGTTGGTGGATTGCTACATGTACAATCAGGGAGCGTGGGGCCAACTGTGTCGTTGTCGGATCAAATGGCGTTGAAACAGAAAAGTAAACGGAGACTTAATAGCAGTATTGGTGGGCCTGTTATTAGTTCTGGGCTTGGTGCTAAAAGAGACTCAAGACCTCGTCATAGTACTGGGAGGCTTAGTGGAAGTTTAACAGCAAAAAACATTGGAAGCTTGTTTGGAGATGATGAGGACAGTAAAGAATTGAGTAGTGTACATGTACATGTATCTACTCCAAATCAGGGTCCATTGGTTAACAAAGTAAGGAGTTTTTTGCAGTGTATTTCTGATGCGGTATATGTGCATCATTAGCGACCGTTCGTTTGTTATGAGATGGAAGGGTGGGGGGGTTGGGATTTGAGGGGGACCGTGAAAAAATATGGCTTTAAAGGGAGGTTCAGGAGAAAAATATTGGGTTTGAAGTGTTTTTTTGTGGAGGGCGGTCACCTATAAAACCCTTTAAGTTTTTGGATACTAGATCAGGGCTGTTATTAAGAGCCGGGGGCAGGGAATTTCCCCCGGCTACTATGAACGTAGCCCCTGGTTACTTCCATATTAAAACAGAAGACAAATAAAACCAAAAGAAATCCCTAGCCGTTCGATTCCCCGCCTACTTGTTGTATCACAGGGAGCCCACACAATCTGTTTGTGTAGCCGATTGTTATTTTTATAGTAAATGTACTGGATTTACCGTTCGCTTCACCTATAGCGATATATCGCTAACTATGTATATAAATCAATGATAAATAAACGTTGAATTACTTTACCTGTGGTATATAGTCGTCGTTTTACCTCAAAAGCGGTTTTTTGAGCGATTTTGAAGGAGTTTGATTTCGCCGTTGACTGTTCCTTATAATAGAAGGACAAGGGTGGAATCGATGTTTTGAAAAGGGCTCCAGTGCCGGGCGATTTTCCTCAAATCGCATTGCTCGCTTTTCAAACTCCATGCAAAAATTAGAAAGATTCACGTTTCTCCTCGTACCTTCGATCGAAAATCATCCAAACAGCCCAGACTGGCCGTCGAAGAAAATTAAAATCCCACAGTATTTGAGCGGCTGGAATGCGTAGCAAGATTCCTACGGCAGCCACAAACCGTTCCGCTGATTGCCTTTTTTTTTTGTTGGATGTCGTTAACCAAATGGTTAAATAATAGCTGATGAAGAGACTTGGTAGCGTTTGTTTGTTTGGCGACATCCAATCAAAAGAAGACAGTCAGCCAGACCACCACGGCTGGCACATATGGGTCTTGCTGCGCATTCTCGCTCGAGTACTGTGGGACTGGTACTATTCGAGCCTTCGTTGTGAATCTTCGATCTTTGCTACGGGTTTGAGCGGGCGATGCGGAAAATCGCTCCGGCGCAAGGATTCACCCGCTATAGAACGATCGCTCGCTTCAAAATCGCTCAGCTGGTAAAACGACGGGTATTTCGTGTTTATTATCGATGGTTAGCGTGTGACATATCGCTACGGGTGAACCCAACGGTAAAGCCGGGCATTTGCTATGGGGAATTTCAATCGGCTACCTAACGGGCTCCCTGTGGTTGTGTTACCAGCAACGAAATCTTGGTGACAGCTTCTGCTAGATGGACCCCCCACCCCCAAAAAAAATTCTAATGAAGAGGGGGGTCATCATATACTACAGGAGCTACCCGTCAAATTCCACCAGCTCCTCCCTTCCTTACAAGGACGCTTAAGCAAAGGCATTTCCAAGCAACACACGTCAACCAGTCAAGGCCTTTTTACATTATTGGACAGTGGGTTTGCCCAAATTTTCAGGCAAATTAAGAAACTAAGCAATTCAAGTTTTGTAGCTTTCAGGCATGTTAAAAGTGTCAATGCCTCACTTCAGTTAGATGGCGTCGCTCAAGAACGCCTCTGTTTAAGCTCCCTATTCTGACGAGAGACACCCCTGATTGACCCCTTAAAGTATTTATAGTTGGGGGAATTTTTTTGCAGATCAAAGCATTTTTCCTTAATTTGGCTGACCATTTCATTGATTCTCATTGCCTTTTCTTATGCTTTTTAATGATATTGTTCGGAGAAAATAGCCTGCCAGCAAGCTCTCCAAGGTGCTCTGGCGGCGGGGCGAAAAGTTTAAGGAGTGTTTCCATCTTTGAACACAATTTCTTGACTCTAGTTCCTCAATACTCGCCCTGCGTATGGTTGAGCTGGCAGGACTTGGCGCGCGTGACCGAGTAATTTCCATGGATGTTTCTATTTGTTGTTGCCTTGGCTGTATAATGTCGCGATAAGAAAGGGATGAGTTGCGCTTGTATGGGTGGGCTGATTGGTTGATTCACCACCCTGATTCTGCCAGTGTACGTATAGGCTAGACTTGCCTAGAGTCGACCTCACGAGTTTCTAAACGAGCGACGAAGTTGTGAGGGTCTTGGACGAAGGAATTTTTGAAAGTTTACGTATAGGTACCCTGCGAACTGGGGTTTCTGTCTTGAATGGCTTTAGCGTTTCCAGTCGCCGGTTCTCGTTGGCTTGTCTGTCGTGTGGTTAGTTTCTTTCGCGTGGAGACGTACCGAACTAACTACGCGACAGACCAAACACCTGTGTTTAAGCGCTAAAAAGCCTGTCTGAAGGAACCTCTGTTCGCAAGGTAACCTCGTTACCTGAATACTTACTAGGTATCGGGTTTTTTTAACCCAAAGGAATGTGCCTAAGACGTTTTTAGTATAATGTCGACCTGGAAATGAGTTCTCCGTCGTTTGGGTCAAGAAATATCTTCCATTTGTACAATAGTGGCCTTATTTTCCCTTTTCGGCAGACTGATGAACTACAATACGCAGGATGTTCCTTTTGACCGAAGGAAAACGCTTATAGACCGTGAGTATCACTCTAAAATTATCTGACTCTATTTTTTCTTTTAAATAATTTGGGAGACAAATAATAATTACCTGCATGCAGTATACTTCGCGTTTAACGTGCTTTGCTTAAAAACGTTGTGTGCTCAAAAATTATATCAGTAAGGATGATGTTGCTGTATACTGTTTATTTCTATTTTTCATTTTCAGGAAGATATTTCAATAAACATCACAGAAGAAACACATCTAATGAAATCTCAGGTAGCTATAAGTTAAATGATGTTCTCAGTACTGGCGTTCTAGGAATCAAGGTCTCCCTCTGTCTCTTCAAGTCATCTAGATTTTCCAACGTTTTGTTTTCCTACTTGAAACGACCTGTCACCAGTACATTGAGGAATCAGAAGGTAATACTATGATTATTGAACAGTAGATGAACAGTCGAACCTCCACTTGGAGGTTATAGCAATTACCAAAGTCATTAACCACTTTTTTTTTTTTGTTTTGCCAAGGCTAAAAAGTAGCGATCTGGTGTTTGAAGATATTGACGACGACCTAGATCAAGAACTTGGTCATAACCTTAGGTATCTGGTAGATCTATAAATCGAACCTCCATGTGCGACCATCTCATCGTAAGCGATCACCTCCGCCAAACGACCGCCAATCCAAAACAATAAATTTTTCCCAGTGAAAAGCCTTACAGCTGGAACCTCTAGTAAACGACCACCTCGGTCCTCCTATAAGCGACCGCGACCACTTTTTATTGCCTGACTGTCAATGATTTTCCATTGGTTTTAACCTCTTGTAAGCGACCACAGTTGACGTATTCTCTGATCTCTAGGTTCGCTGTGTCCACTATGCTTCTTACAATGTAAAGAACTTTGGTGACAACGTGGAACTACAAATGCATTATCTTCCATAAAGTAGATGTGTCTGGACCTCTTCTCGGAAGAGAGGCTCCCTGTGGTTCGATTCTTGTAAACGACCCCCTCCGTAAGCGACCACTCATTCTTTTCATGTTGGGTGGTCGCTTACGGGTTCTAACTCGTGTAAATATGATGGTCTAAAGCTGTTTAATCCACTGTAAATCGATTCACCTCGAAGACCAACTGGATAAACCTCGATTTGTCCATTGTCAGTGTAAGACCTATAAAGGACGGTTTATCGACTCCAAATACTCTAGCTCTATTCTCCTCTCGTGTTCAGCTGCTGGTAACACCATACGGTCAAATCCCGCTACGGACACCTTTTGATTAGGACGCCTTATTATTTCCGAATAGTTTGCTTTGTCCTGGCCTGGGGAAGGGCCCGCACATTTTCTCTAACTTCAACCCGCTTTATACGCGACACCCCGTTAATACGGACACTTTCTCGGTATCCGTGACGAATGGGTTTGACTGAAAAGTATATTCCCAGGAAAAGAAGTTATAGCAACACAAACAAGTAAATCGTTAAGATCTCCCGCCAAAATGGACCGTAAACAAAACAAACAAACCAAAAAATAGCTCCGTATGTGAACCTATGGCGCGGAGCTTGAACACATAACTCAGGAATAACAGCCTCTTACAGGCCAGTTCGCGCTATCCGAGTTACCAGAGGAGGCTTGTAACCGAGCGCGATAGCGGGAGGCGTCCTCGGCGAATTTTCCCGACAAGCTTGACAGTTGACGTCATATCCGAAATCGCCAAGGACGACTGGGAACGAGGCTGGGCTCTAACCTCTCTGCCACGGTTCCTCCGAATGTAGGACTAACGTACTTCTGCACTTAGAGTTTGGTTAATTGAAAGCTGCTATAAGAAAATGTTTTAAGTTTACTCATATTTTAGGTCCAAAGAAAATTACGCAAGTTGATGTCCAAAACAAACCTATCACTTTGGAAACAGCAATGGTAGGTGCAATCTTATGGCCTTGAAATTTACATGTAACTAGCGAAAACGTCTTGTGATTCTTTCTGTATGTTATTGTATTCTTTTTCTTCTTGTAATATGTTGAACTTTACATCACCTATGCGTAATGTTTTATTCCCCTAGATTAGCTTAATAGCTATTTGCGGGCTATACAACACTGTAAAACTTTATCTTTTTTAATAACTGAACTGTTGTCGTTTTAACATTGCTGTTGCTATGCATAGAAAAGGCCGTTTCATCCTTTTTGTAATTACCATTTGAAGTCAATCTTATCAAGACAAGGACTTTGTTGTAATGCTTTCCCCTTAGCCTATTACAGGCTACGCCCCCCAAGTCATTATCGTCGCAAGCGACTCCTAAAAGAGAACGCCTGATCATGCTGACTCACTTGATTTAGGCAATATCCTGAGTATCTAGTCGCCTATTTACTGATGCATGTGTTGATCACATTAGGGCTTGAAGAATCTTATATTTGGAAATGCCAAGTCGAGCTTTACACCAGAATGGAGAAATCAAAGCTTTTCATTCTGTGACTTATATGCACTGGAATATGGAATTGTACAACTAAAGGTAAGGTCAAATTAATGCGAATATTTCGCCTGAATCTCTCGGATGAAAGGGCAATTGTTTGAACTATAGAACGGTGACCAGTGGTCCAAGGTGCGACCGTTGTGGTTGCCATGGTGATTAAAAAACAAAAGTTGCGATTAAAAGTGCAGCGAAAGTCGACAGTTGGGTACACACCTGTTTTAGGCGGTAATGCGGCTAAGCCGTTGCTTTTTCAATAAGTAAGTTTTTAGTGAGATAACATTTGCGTGAAATAGTTATCAGTTACGCTCCTTGCGACCATTATATGATTTTAGGTTGCAAAAAGGCAACTCTGTAGCACTGAAACTCTTCAGATTTTAAAACAAATGAATAAAATATTAGTTAATTAAAGGAACCCTAGAGTGATCAGCCTTAAAGTTCTCCTTGTAGTATCTTTGCTTTATAAAACATAGTGATTAGATTATAATATTAGGGGTTATCGTTGTTGTTGTTGTTGTTTTTTCAGGGTGGACCTTGTGGAGTGCTGGCTGCTGTACAGGCGTTTGTCCTCAAGCATTTGCTGTTTGGCGGAAAGAAAGGGGACTCTAAAAAGTACATTGTGTTTCAGATACAAGAGTACGGTGGCCCAGAAGGGTCACACATGCAAATTAAAAATGTTGCTGCAAATTAAAAATAGGACATGCAAACTAAAAATATTACAAACATGAAACATGAATGGGCCGACGGCTGTAAGGCCAGGTCGCACGGCTCGGACCAGATCCTCATCACTCCTACTGCGCGCAGGACTTTTCATTTTTAATTTGCGTCGATATGTTTTCTATTTTCAATTTGCAGCACAATTTTTTTAGTTTGCATGTACTATAATTTAATTTGCAGGTAATATTTTTAGTTTGCATGTACAATTTTTAATTTGCAGCAACATTTTTAATTTGCATGTGTGACCCTTCTGGCCCACCGTACAAGAGTATATGATGTTTACTCATTTTTTTTTTCTCTAGGATATCTTTAAATACCAGGAAAATGTCTATTGGTTTGATGATTTAGTTTAGATTGTAAATAATCATTTTCAGTTGTCGTCCCTTTTTCTTGCAATATTCTGTACCATTGACGTCATTTCAAATGGACTGAGCGCGGCTGCCAATGGCGCCTTTGTGTGCTGATGTCCGAGCTTACTGTTCACATGTTAAAATATATTGTAAGAGGGCACGTCTGTTGTCCTCTCATCCACGACTCTTCATTCATTCGTTTGTTTTAACGGATATCGCAAGCATCTTCCAGAGTTGGTCAACGCTAGCTGGTTATGAAGAATATTAAGGTGTTTCGATACAGTTTTTCAGAGGCCATACCGATATTTTTCAATCGCCTTATAAGTGTTTTTTTCCTCGTCCAATCGCTATAATAATTGCCTATGGATTGAAATGTGTGAAAATGTAGTTTTAAGTAAAATCGATATTACTATGACAACAATAAACAAAAAACTTTGAAATTGGTAAAAGCCGAATTTTGTGTGATGTAGACCAGCTACTGAAAATCCAACACTAGGAACTTAAAGTTTGGTGTCTAGCGAACGATCTCCTTAAGAAGTAGAAAATTCTGTATGTTTGAATTCGACTAAAACGAAAATATATGTCAAACCTTAAATTTTCAATAGCCGTGATAGATTATTTAATAAAAACGTTATAAATGATTCAAATTATTCTTAAGTAGCGTCAGAATGCGCTTAATATAGTATTTTGATACTAGGAAATTTTGGCGTATTTTTGTTCTTGCGATCTTGAAAACTAAGACGTTTTCTCACCACCTGTCTAAGTGCAACTTCATTCAAAATTTGGACTTTTCGTGCTTTTTTTGTATATCTCTGAAACGACTCGAACGAATTTTTTAAAATCTCCTCTCATAATCTTCATAATGTATATAATAACGTCTGAAACTTTCATTAAGATTGATTCACTGCAACACCTTGAAATTTCAAGACAAACCTATCCCACGAATCGGTCAAAAATCTGCGTTACAACAGTCACTGTTTTGACGTTATGCTAATTTTTCCAAAGTAATGCGCACTATACATACCTAAATGACCAGTACATTTTAGTTTGAATTTATCGCATCTTTCGAATGTAAAACATTGAAAATAGTCACACTGAAATATACTAGTCATGGATATATGTATACACCGTATTCACAAATGGCGGACACGCGGGAAAAAAACTGGTGCCTAGTCATGAAAGCGAGGCGTTGGAGGGTAAACAAAAATTGCAAATGAAGACTTTCAGTGAACTTGCAGAGTGTTTAGCACGGATTCCACCTAAAATAACTTTGTACGGACTTCTTTTTAAATACAATTACGAGGGATCTCTTCTACTTTTAATGTTTAGTATTGATTTGCTGTTTGCAATCAAAAGGGACGCGTATATCTTCAAGGAAACAGGATGATTTTGTAGGTTTCCGAAGCATCAGAAGCTCGACAAGTACAGTGGACGATGACTGGAGAAAAGCGGCAAACATGTTGGCCCAAACTTCACATTGAAACCGAGTTCGAAAGCCAGCTCACTGCAATTCGGTAAAACAAAAATATAAACAATGCAAATCTTGGCGGCAAGAAAAAAAGAAATAAGCGATGGATATATGGCCTACTCGTTAACGCAAGAGACGTGTGCTATTGAACAAAACAGTTCAAATCGAGATGGAAAAAAAGGAAGACAGGAAAGAAGCGGTGACTGAGGTTTTGATGAAGTCATGTTTTGTGTTTATTTGCCAGGACGTTATTCTCTGGTCTTTATCGATGAAGGACATCAATTAGAACTATCTTTTTGGTATAAATGCAGGAGCGATCGAGTGGAGTACGCTCAAAATTTCAACTTGTTACTCGACAGACTCGGTAAGCCGGCCACATTTCATTTCAGCGAGTAATTTTCCTATTTCTTATCTTTGGCTGTTAAGAGTTTTAACTTCATGTTCCATAATATTTTAAAAGTGAAGAATACATAAATAAATAAAATGATGGTCTTCTTAAACGGATCCAGACTCGCATTTAATGATTCGAAACAGAAGCTTGCCGTGTTCAGTCCTGACACAAACATTGCCTTAAAAGTTTAACCTAGTAAAATGTGAGCTTTATACCACTTTTTTACCAAGAGCTCTCCGAGATAATGCCGTAAAGGAGACCAGGCAAATAGCAAGCCATAAGATTCACACACTAGAGCTTCTAGTTTTGATAAAATTATTTTATTTCGCAATGACAAAGAAATCAAAAGATTTTAAATTTGCACTGAATTTGCTAAGCTCTGCCAACGTACCTCTAACAATTCACTCCAAAGCGACGGAATTAATATCATCCAAAGGAAGTTGTAAATACAGACATACATAGATATGTGTAAAATGACACTGACATGAATGAATGAGTCTCGTGAATGAATCTTTCACCCGCTCTCGACTTGACCTGTTTTGAGTAATGGCGGAGGTCTCTTCCGTTGACAAGTAGGCCATATATCCGTCGCTTATTTCTTTTTTTTTTTCTTGCCACCATCTGTTTTTACTTCTGTTTTACAGAATTGCAGTGAGCTGGCTTTCGTATTCGGTTTCAGCGTGAAGTTTGGGCCAACATGTTTGCCGCTTTTCTCCAGCCATCACCCACTTGTCGAGCTTCTGAGGCTTCGGCAACCTACAAAATCATCATGTTTCCTTGAAGATATACGCGTCCCTTTTGATTGCAAACAGCAAATCAGTGCTAAACGTTAAAAGCAGAAGATGTCCCAAGTCATTGTATTTAAAAAGACGTCCATACAAAGTTATTTTAGGTGGAATCCGTGCTAAACACTCTGCAAGTTCACTGGAAGTCTTCATTTGCAATTTTTGTTTACCCTCCAACGCCTCGCTTTCATGACTAGGCACCAGTTTTTTCCCGCGTGTCCGCCATTTGTGAATACGGTGTATTGTCCGCATTAATTTCCTTCTCACGGAGGTTATTTGCTAAACTTCAACTTTTTTTTTTGCTAGTGTTGAATTTTCAGTAGCTGGCCTAGATCGCGCAAAATTAGGCGTTTATCAATTTCAAAGTTTTTTGTTTACTGTTGTCATAGTAATATCGATTTTACTAAAACCCACATTTTGACAAATTTCAATCTATAGTCAACCACTGATGAAAATTTTATAGCGATCATACAAGGATAAAATCACTTTTAAAGTGATTGAAAAAAATCAGTATGGCCTCTGAAAAACTATATCGAAACACTTTAAAGATGAGGGATTTGAGCCAATCAGAAACGGAGAAATTAAATGGCGATAATAAATTTTTTCCCATTACCCTTGTCCTTGTCAAAGCATTTTTCCTTAATTTGGCTGACCATTTCATTGATTCTCATTGCCTTTTCTTATGCTTTTTAATGATATTGTTCGGAGAAAATAGCCTGCCAGCAAGCTCTCCAAGGTGCTCTGGCGGCGGGGCGAAAAGTTTAAGGAGTGTTTCCATCTTTGAACTTTAATTTCTTGACTCTAGTTCCTCAATACTCGCCTGCGTGGTTGAGCTGGCGGGACTTGGCGCGCGTGACCGAGTAATTCCATGGATGTTTCTATTTGTTGTTGCCTTGGCTGTATAATGTCGCGATAAGAAAGGGGATGAGTTGCGCTCGTATGAGGTGGGCTGATTGGTGCCAATTCACCACCCTGATTCTGCCAGTGTACGTATAGGCTAGACTTGCCACAAGTCGACCTCACGAGTTTCTAAACGAGCGACGAAGTTGTGAGAGGTCTTGGACGAAGGAATTTTTTGAAAGTTTACGTATAGGTACCCTGCGAACTGAGGTTTCTGTCTTGAATGGCTTTTAGCGTTTCCGGAGTCGCCGGTTCTCGTGGCTTGTCTGTCGTGTGGTTAGTTTCTTTCGCCCCGTGAGACGTACACAAACTAACTACGCGACAGACAAGCCACGCGAACGACTTTGCAAACGCTAAAAGCCATGCATGAGAGAGACCTCTGTTCGCAGGGTAGCTATAGGTTACCTGAATACTTACTAGAGTATCGGGTTTTTAACCCAAAGGAATGTGCCTAAGACGTTTTTAGTATAATGTCGACCTCTGGAAATGAGTTCTCCGTCGTTTGAGTCAAGAAATGTCTTCCATTTGTACAATAGTGGCCTTATTTTCCCTTTTCGGCAGACTGATGAACTTCACAATACGCAGGATGTTCCTTTTGACCGAAAGGGAAGAGAAAAACATAGACCGTGAGTATCACTCTAAAAATTATCGACTCCTATTTTTTTCTTTTAAATAATTTGGGAGACAGAAATAATAATTACCTGCATAGAGTATACTTCGCGTTTAACATTATTTGTGCTTAAAACGTTGTGTGCTCAAAAATTATATCAGTAAGGATGATGTTGCTGTATACTGTTTATTTCTATTTTTCATTTTTTCAGGGAAGATATTTCAGCTAAACATCACAGAAGAAACACATCTAATGAAATCTCAAGGTAGCTATAAGTTAAATGATGTTCTCAGTACTGGCGTTCTAGAATCAGGTCTCCCTCTGTCTCTTCAAGTCATCTAGATTTTCAACGTTTTGTTTTTTCCTACTTAGAAACGAGCCTGTCACCAGTACATTGAGGAATCAGAAGGTAATACTATGATTATTGAACAGTAGATGAACAGTCGAACCTCCACTTGGAGGTTATAGCAATTGCACCAAAGTCATTAACCACTTTTTTTTTTGTTTACTTAAGGCTAAAAGTAGCGATCTGGTGTTTGAAGATATTGACGACGACCTAGATCAAGAACTTGGTCACTTAACCTTAGGTATGGTAGATCTATACAGTCGAACCTCCATGTGCGACCATCTCTCGTAAGCGATCACCTCCCATAAACGACCGCCAATCCAAAACAATAAAATTTTCCCAGTGAAAGCCTTACAGCTGGAACCTCTAGTAAACGACCACCTCGGTCCTCCTATAAGCGACCGCGACCACTTTTTGTGCCTGACTGTCAATGATTTTCCATTGGTTTTAACCTCTTGTAAGCGACCACAGTTGACGTATTCTCTGATCTCTAGGTTCGCTGTGTCCACTATGCTTCTTACAATATACAAAGAACTTTAGTGACAACGTGGAACTACAAATGCCGTAATTATCTTCCATAAAGTAGATGTGTCTGGACCTCTTCTCGGAAGAGGCTCCCTGTGGTTCGATTCTTGTAAACGACCCCCTTCCGTAAGCGACCACTCATTCTTTTCATGTTGGGTGGTCGCTTACGGGAGGTTCGACTGTACGTGTAAATATGATGGTCTGAAAGCTGTTTAATCCGACTGTAAATCGATTCACCTCGGGGAACCAGCTGGATAAACCTCGATTTGTCCATTGTCAGTGTAAGACCTATAAAAGGACGGTTTATCGACTCCAAAATACTCTAGCTCTAGCTACTCTCGTGTTCAGCTGCTGGTAACACCATACGGTCAAATCCCGCTTTACGGACACCTTTTTGATTAGGACGCCTTATTATTTCGAATAGTTTGCTTTGTCCCTGGCCTGGGGAAAGATAGCCCTTACATTTTCTCTAACTTCAACCCACTTTATACGCGACACCCCGTTAATACGGACACTTTCTCGGTATCCGTGTTAATCGGGTTTGACTGTAAAGTATATTCCCAGGGAAAGAAGTTATAGCAACACAGAAACAAGTAAATCGTTAAGATCTCCCGCCAAGAAATGGACCCGTAAACAAAAACAAACAAACCAAAAAATAGCTCCGTATGTAGACCTAGCGCTTGCGTTGGCGCGGGGCTTGAACTTGTAACTCCAGGGCTCTAACCAGCCTCTTACCCAGGCCAGTTCGCGCTATCCGAGTTACCAGAGGAGGCTTGTAACCGAGCGCGATAGCGGGAGGCGTCCTCGGCGAATTTTCCCGACAAGCTTGACAGTTGACGTCATATCCGAAATCGCCAAGGACGACTGGGAACGAGGCTGGGCTCTAACCTCTCTGCCACGGTTCCTCCGAATGTAGGACTAACGTACTTCTGCACTTAGAGTTTGGTTAATTGAAAGCTGCTATAAGAAAATGTTTTAAGTTTACTCATATTTTAGGTCCAAAGAAAATTACGCAAGTTGATGTCCAAAACAAACCTATCACTTTGGAAACAGCAATGGTAGGTGCAATCTTATGGCCTTGAAATTTACATGTAACTAGCGAAAACGTCTTGTGATTCTTTCTGTATGTTATTGTATTCTTTTTCTTCTTGTAATATGTTGAACTTTACATCACCTATGCGTAATGTTTTATTCCCCTAGATTAGCTTAATAGCTATTTGCGGGCTATACAACACTGTAAAACTTTATCTTTTTTAATAACTGAACTGTTGTCGTTTTAACATTGCTGTTGCTATGCATAGAAAAGGCCGTTTCATCCTTTTTGTAATTACCATTTGAAGTCAATCTTATCAAGACAAGGACTTTGTTGTAATGCTTTCCCCTTAGCCTATTACAGGCTACGCCCCCCAAGTCATTATCGTCGCAAGCGACTCCTAAAAGAGAACGCCTGATCATGCTGACTCACTTGATTTAGGCAATATCCTGAGTATCTAGTCGCCTATTTACTGATGCATGTGTTGATCACATTAGGGCTTGAAGAATCTTATATTTGGAAATGCCAAGTCGAGCTTTACACCAGAATGGAGAAATCAAAGCTTTTCATTCTGTGACTTATATGCACTGGAATATGGAATTGTACAACTAAAGGTAAGGTCAAATTAATGCGAATATTTCGCCTGAATCTCTCGGATGAAAGGGCAATTGTTTGAACTATAGAACGGTGACCAGTGGTCCAAGGTGCGACCGTTGTGGTTGCCATGGTGATTAAAAACAAAAGTTGCGATTAAAAGTGCAGCGAAAGTCGACAGTTGGGTACACACCTGTTTTAGGCGGTAATGCGGCTAAGCCGTTGCTTTTTCAATAAGTAAGTTTTTAGTGAGATAACATTTGCGTGAAATAGTTATCAGTTACGCTCCTTGCGACCATTATATGATTTTAGGTTGCAAAAAGGCAACTCTGTAGCACTGAAACTCTTCAGATTTTAAAACAAATGAATAAAATATTAGTTAATTAAAGGAACCCTAGAGTGATCAGCCTTAAAGTTCTCCTTGTAGTATCTTTGCTTTATAAAACATAGTGATTAGATTATAATATTAGGGGTTATCGTTGTTGTTGTTGTTGTTTTTCAGGGTGGACCTTGTGGAGTGCTGGCTGCTGTACAGGCGTTTGTCCTCAAGCATTTGCTGTTTGGCGGAAAGAAAGGGGACTCTAAAAAGTACATTGTGTTTCAGATACAAGAGTACGGTGGCCCAGAAGGGTCACACATGCAAATTAAAAATGTTGCTGCAAATTAAAAATAGGACATGCAAACTAAAAATATTACAAACATGAAACATGAATGGGCCGACGGCTGTAAGGCCAGGTCGCACGGCTCGGACCAGATCCTCATCACTCCTACTGCGCGCAGGACTTTTCATTTTTAATTTGTGTCGATATGTTTTCTATTTTCAATTTGCAGCACAATTTTTAGTTTGCATGTACTATAATTTAATTTGCAGGTAATATTTTTAGTTTGCATGTACAATTTTTAATTTGCAGCAACATTTTTAATTTGCATGTGTGACCCTTCTGGCCCACCGTACAAGAGTATATGATGTTTACTCATTTTTTTCTCTAGGATATCTTTAAATACCAGGAAAATGTCTATTGGTTTGATGATTTAGTTTAGATTGTAAATAATCATTTTCAGTTGTCGTCCCTTTTTCTTGCAATATTCTGTACCATTGACGTCATTTCAAATGGACTGAGCGCGGCTGCCAATGGCGCCTTTGTGTGCTGATGTCCGAGCTTACTGTTCACATGTTAAAATATATTGTAAGAGGGCACGTCTGTTGTCCTCTCATCCACGACTCTTCATTCATTCGTTTGTTTTAACGGATATCGCAAGCATCTTCCAGAGTTGGTCAACGCTAGCTGGTTATGAAGAATATTAAGGTGTTTCGATACAGTTTTTCAGAGGCCATACCGATATTTTTCAATCGCCTTATAAGTGTTTTTTTCCTCGTCCAATCGCTATAATAATTGCCTATGGATTGAAATGTGTGAAAATGTAGTTTTAAGTAAAATCGATATTACTATGACAACAATAAACAAAAAACTTTGAAATTGGTAAAAGCCGAATTTTGTGTGATGTAGACCAGCTACTGAAAATCCAACACTAGGAACTTAAAGTTTGGTGTCTAGCGAACGATCTCCTTAAGAAGTAGAAAATTCTGTATGTTTGAATTCGACTAAAACGAAAATATATGTCAAACCTTAAATTTTCAATAGCCGTGATAGATTATTTAATAAAAACGTTATAAATGATTCAAATTATTCTTAAGTAGCGTCAGAATGCGCTTAATATAGTATTTTGATACTAGGAAATTTTGGCGTATTTTTGTTCTTGCGATCTTGAAAACTAAGACGTTTTCTCACCACCTGTCTAAGTGCAACTTCATTCAAAATTTGGACTTTTCGTGCTTTTTTGTATATCTCTGAAACGACTCGAACGAATTTTTTTAAAATCTCCTCTCATAATCTTCATAATGTATATAATAACGTCTGAAACTTTCATTAAGATTGATTCACTGCAACACCTTGAAATTTCAAGACAAACCTATCCCACGAATCGGTCAAAAATCTGCGTTACAACAGTCACTGTTTTGACGTTATGCTAATTTTTCCAAAGTAATGCGCACTATACATACCTAAATGACCAGTACATTTTAGTTTGAATTTATCGCATCTTTCGAATGTAAAACATTGAAAATAGTCACACTGAAATATACTAGTCATGGATATATGTATACACCGTATTCACAAATGGCGGACACGCGGGAAAAAACTGGTGCCTAGTCATGAAAGCGAGGCGTTGGAGGGTAAACAAAAATTGCAAATGAAGACTTTCAGTGAACTTGCAGAGTGTTTAGCACGGATTCCACCTAAAATAACTTTGTACGGACTTCTTTTCAAATACAATTACGAGGGATCTCTTCTACTTTTAATGTTTAGTATTGATTTGCTGTTTGCAATCAAAAGGGACGCGTATATCTTCAAGGAAACAGGATGATTTTGTAGGTTTCCGAAGCATCAGAAGCTCGACAAGTACAGTGGACGATGACTGGAGAAAAGCGGCAAACATGTTGGCCCAAACTTCACATTGAAACCGAGTTCGAAAGCCAGCTCACTGCAATTCGGTAAAACAAAAATATAAACAATGCAAATCTTGGCGGCAAGAAAAAAAGAAATAAGCGATGGATATATGGCCTACTCGTTAACGCAAGAGACGTGTGCTATTGAACAAAACAGTTCAAATCGAGATGGAAAAAAAGGAAGACAGGAAAGAAGCGGTGACTGAGGTTTTGATGAAGTCATGTTTTGTGTTTATTTGCCAGGACGTTATTCTCTGGTCTTTATCGATGAAGGACATCAATTAGAACTATCTTTTTGGTATAAATGCAGGAGCGATCGAGTGGAGTACGCTCAAAATTTCAACTTGTTACTCGGCAGACTCGGTAAGCCGGCCACATTTCATTTCAGCGAGTAATTTTCCTATTTCTTATCTTTGGCTGTTAAGAGTTTTAACTTCATGTTCCATAATATTTTAAAAGTGAAGAATACATAAATAAATAAAATGATGGTCTTCTTAAACGGATCCAGACTCGCATTTAATGATTCGAAACAGAAGCTTGCCGTGTTCAGTCCTGACACAAACATTGCCTTAAAAGTTTAACCTAGTAAAATGTGAGCTTTATACCACTTTTTTACCAAGAGCTCTCCGACATAATGCCGTAAAGGAGACCAGGCAAATAGCAAGCCATAAGATTCACACACTAGAGCTTCTAGTTTTGATAAAATTATTTTATTTCGCAATGACAAAGAAATCAAAAGATTTTAAATTTGCACTGAATTTGCTAAGCTCTGCCAACGTACCTGTAACAATTCACTCCAAAGCGACGGAATTAATATCATGCAAAGGAAGTTGTAACTACAGACATACATAGATATGTGAAAAATGACACTGACATGAATGAATGAGTCTCGTGAATGAATCTTTCACCCGCTCTCGACTTGACCTGTTTTGATTAATGGCGGAGGTCTCTTCCGTTGACAAGTAGGCCATATATCCGTCGCTTATTTCCTTTTTTCTTGCCACCAATATCTGTTTTTACTTCTGTTTTACAGAATTGCAGTGAGCTGGCTTTCGTGTTCGGTTTCAGCGTGAAGTTTGGCCAACATGTTTGCCGCTTTTCTCCAGCCATCACCCACTTGTCGAGCTTCTGAGGCTTCGGCAACCTACAAAATCATCCTGTTTTCTTGAAGATATACGCGTCCCTTTTGATTGCAAACAGCAAATCAGTGCTAAACGTTAAAAGCAGAAGATGTCCCAAGCCATTGTATTTAAAAAGACGTCCATACAAAGTTATTTTAGGTGGAATCCGTGCTAAACACTCTGCAAGTTCACTGGAAGTCTTCATTTGCAATTTTTGTTTACCCTCCAACGCCTCGCTTTCATGACTAGGCACCAGTTTTTTCCCGCGTGTCCGCCATTTGTGAATACGGTGTATTGTCCGCATTAATTTCCTTCTCACGGAGGTTATTTGCTAAACTTCAAACTTTTTTTGCTAGTGTTGAATTTTCAGTAGCTGGCCTAGATCGCGCAAAATTAGGCGTTTATCAATTTCAAAGTTTTTTGTTTACTGTTGTCATAGTAATATCGATTTTACTAAAACCCACATTTTGACAAATTTCAATCTATAGTCAACCACTGATGAAAATTTTATAGCGATCATACAAGGATAAAATCACTTTTAAAGTGATTGAAAAAAATCAGTATGGCCTCTGAAAAACTATATCGAAACACTTTAAAGATGAGGGATTTGAGCCAATCAGAAACGGAGAAATTAAATGGCGATAATAAATTTTTTCCCATTACCCTTGTCATTTCCATTTCTAGTAACAACTTCTGAGAATAACTCAGCCATGCCCTTCTTTTTCTGCTGCTCCTGTCCGGACGTGGTGATTATGGAAACTAGTTTTTTTTAATCTTTTAATAAATCCTATTTCATGGTCATTTTAGGAAACTTCAGCCTTCTTCACGAGAAAGAACCAAAGCTCTTACATCAGCTATTAGTGAAATATTATGGAGGGCTGGTGACAGCAGAGGTGCAGTAGTAGCCTTGTAAGTTACTCTGGAATTTTGTCTATGCATTATTTAAAAAAACGAGCAGGGGTGTTTTGGCGAGCTTTGAAACACGAGGCCCTGCCGTGAGTGATGTGTCGTTATCGAGTGATTGTCATCGGGCACTCCACTCTGCTCAAGGTGGCCTCAGCAGAGCCGCACGTTTGGACTGCCAGTGCCGGTAGTCTTCTGGGTCAGCCATAATAGGGACTTTAAGATCCAACGACGCGGACGGCAACGCGAAAGTAGAAAAATCAATAGGTTTTATGAGCAAACAACAACTTTGAACAAGCAGACGAAATTTTATCTCTTTCTGAACATGGTTATGGTCCCTAGGAATTCAACTCCAGGAGGGTTCGCCTACATTCGACATAGTAAGAGGGTAATGATTGCGATAAAGACTGAAAGAACGCAAATTCACTTTAAACGACGTTCTGGTTGCCGTCGCGTCGTTGGATCTTAAAGTCCCTAATGGTAGCCTGCGTCGCAGACGTAATCTTATCGCAGTTAGTAACGTCTGCGAAGCAGCCCCGAGGTTCTTGTTTGACGCCCCAAACGGACTTAATGAATCAGTTATCGGAAGGGCGTTTGGATTTCCCTTCAACCCGAACAGGCCAATCACGGCGTGTACTCAATCCTGGTACACAGCAGGGGCCCAGAAGGCTCTGAAGTCCAACCAACATTAGTTTGCGAGGCACTATGGCAGAGAAAGTTGTTCTGCTAAGTATGATATCTTGAACTAGGTAGCGACCTTTCACGATTTGACTACGAATACAAATTTTCGAGTACCAGTGAAACTTTAGAATTTCGAGCTACTTTTATCCTCCGAATTATAACCCTTTCATGTTGCTAACCAGATCGGTGTTTATATATTACGTAATTATATTTGACACACGAAGTTGGTTTGAAAAGTGGTACATGTGCTTGTACTACAATCTAAGGGTGCGGCCGTCCCTCATAGGAAGAACGGCGACGGCAACGACAAACGCCAAAAGTAGAGCCTTTTGGTACGTTATTTTACCGTTCTCTGTCTAAAGATGCTTTTTCCTGAATGTGGCGAACTGTGGAGTGGGTGACCACAAGACGACGAATGTTTCCTCCTTTTTTTGATCGTCGATGCGATCAAAAGTTGTTTTCGCTGTCGTCGTCGTTGTGATTGCTTAAGCTCTTCGAATTACATCCATTGAGACCATCGTAATCGAAAACAAAACCAAAATAAAACATCGAACAAAACAAATCAATAACAACAAGCAAGACATGGCCTTTGGTTTCTCCTTTCATGGGGTTGTTAGTTTTGCCCTTACAATCTTTTCTTTTTTAAAAAATAAAAATCGGGCAACATCTTTGCGGATGGAGCAATCTCCAAATCAAGTAACAAAAATGTTGAAAAGACACCTCAACTCGGTAGCTACAATAATTTCGACAACACCGGAAGTTACATCCCATTTAGTTAATTGTAACAATTTATTTCAGACCTACTGGTGGTTCTAATGTTTTTGGTGCTGGGCGATACAAATCGGACCAGTTAACAGAAGCGGTAAGTACTGCAATTTCCCATAAGATCACCCGACACCTGCCCCCTGACAGAACGTTTTAAGTCAAGATGGGACATTTCACGCCAAAATGGCTCGATCGTGACATTTTTACGGGAAAATAGGGTGCCTGCACTGTAAACAATGTCGCACTTGTATTGAGAAGTCACTTTCCTCTTCGTCAAGGGTGACTTCGTAATACATGTTTGGCTTTACCGAAAGAGATCGGTCTCCGAAATAGTGTTCGCATTAAACCTCTTTAACGAATATTGTTCATGGTGGATGTGAGATTTGCAGGTAGACTGTTGTTACTATAATTGCTGCCATAATGCAGTAATGGTATTTTGTTCCTACACATTTGCTCGGGGTAGATTTTAGCTGTTCAAACATAAGATGCAGGGTTCGTACGCGTCTTGAAAACCCTTGAAAACCCTTGAATTTCAGGAGTCCGATTTCAAGGCCTTGAAAGTACTTGAATTTCGTTTTCGGTCCTTGAAAGTCCGTGAGTTTTTATTGAACAAGATCTAAAATGTTCTGCACTATCTGTAAACCCAAATTATAGATGTTAACACAAACATTTTTCTTGGTTTTGAGGTAAAATTGTCATTAAAAAGGGTCCTTGAAATTTCTAGTTAGGGTCCTGGAAAGTCCTTAAAAAGTCCTTGAACTTTTGGCCTGAAAAAGTGTACGAAGCCTGAGGATGGCAAAAGGAAAGAGTGAAGTCTGAATTCAGGTTTGAAAGCTAAGAAAAATAGAAAATTCAGTTAAATTCTTTTTGTCCACACACTAATGATTGCATACTCAAAAAAGAATAGAAAAAATGTTTCTGAGAAAATGCTTCATTAAAAAAGAAAAAGAAACCCAGATAACAATTTTAACCCCGTGTTTGCTCTAATCGGCCTTCGAACGCCTGGGCCCTGCAATGAAAGCGATTGCTTCTTTGTTATTAAATTTGACAAGACATGTCCAACTCATGTCCGAATGCAGTTAAGATTTCGCCGAACGTGGGCCAATTTTAGTTGGACTTTGTTCGATGACCAACTATTATTTGCAGCCCTGCACGACTGATAAATGGGCCTTGTTTGTTTTCTTACATCAAGATGATGGTATTTTTCTGTTGCACTCTACTTGCAGTTTTGTAATTGTGAGTTAATCACATCTGCTCACTCACTTTTTTCTGTAAACCGCAGCTTGTGTTATACACCTTCAAGTCTTCTGAAAGTCTTCTTAGTTTTATCTCGCAAAATATATCGCAGGTACGTAGAATTCTTACTAGGTTGCTCTATCCTTACCTGTTGTGTGTCTGTACAATTAGCAGTTAGTCAATGAGTCTGGATAAGGTGTTTTTTATTTCTCCTTTTCACGAGGTACCGTTGCTTACCTTTTAACCATTGTATCTGTTTTATGATGTTTTTTAAAAAGGATTATTTTATCAAGCGTAAATCATTGGTGAAACGATTACTGAAGTCGGTTTACTTAACAGCAAAAGTGATACTTGATCTGCCCACCAATGACTAATCGCGATATTTCCAAGTACTTGAACTTGTCCGATAAATGGCTATTGCCTGAAAACAAGGGCCGAAAGTTAGCGGTCTGTAATATGCCCCTTTATTCTCAACGGAACAAATCAGAACCGCCTCAATGAAGAGGAGAAGTCGTTACGTCACGTTGCCAGGGTAGCAAAATGTCTGGATCTGAACAAACCGTAGCCAATGGCACAAAAAAAAAAACGAAAAAGTTAACATGAATTCCTTTCCTGTCCATGATTGCACTCGGGAACAAAACAGTAGCCCATACTTTTCTTCCATCGTTCGACAGTGCAAATGGCCGTCCTTGTCAAGAAAGATTGTTAAGATCCAGATCATGATTTTGCCACCATGGTAACGTGACGTCACACTTCTCCTCTCCCTAGGGGAGTTTGCTTGCTGATTGTGGTTCACTTAAACAAACATTGCCACCGTGACGTCATGGAAGGTCCTCATTAGGCTTGTTCAATCCAGTTATTCCGACCGTAATCCTAAACATGCCCTTCAATAGATAGATTTGTTGGACTGTATACAGTTACAGTCAACCGAATGACTAAACGTTGATATCGTAAGTCTAAATGAAAGGTGTTTAGAGCGCGTCTCCAAATTAAGTGATGTATCGTTTTTCAGTGCAACTGGTTTGCCAAATATTCGTTGTCCAATTCCCGTCTCACTTTCATAATTTCACCCTGAATCTCCATTTCGTTTCCCTCTAAAATCCCGGATCCCGACCGTCAAATAAGCGAAATCTCGGATCCCGAAAAGCCTACTGATGACCCATCGCTGGAGAGGGGGGGGGGGGTTGACTCCCATATGAAAGGGGCGGAGATGATGGTCGGAACTTTTGAATTAAATCCCTAAAGGAGACCAATCTGGGCGTGGCCCAACCTTTTTTGACCGGTAAATAAACTTTGATAACATGAAACGCGTAAATAAAACAAAAAGAGACCTTTACGGCTAAATATAACGGCGTTTTGCCCAGAACACCGTAAGTGAGACCGAAAATTGCACCCCTAAGCGAGACAACGAGCATTCACGCCCCTTTCATACGGGAGTTCCCCCCAGGGGACCCTTCAGTTCGTCTTCAACGTCTGGCGCTTGCCGGTATAAAATTAAAATGGCTTTACTAGAGTTTTTATCACAGGCATATTAACAGCTCATAAGAGCCAAACTTAATCCTGAATTATGTACTTTCCGTATAACCGCATTTCATCTAGAAATAAATCCACTTTTAGTCCATTTTCAGTTTGAGTCTGATAGTAGCAGTGGATGTATTTTGCTGTTGTATTCTGTGATATTGTCCAGGTCAATACGAAAGTAAGTGATGCTCTAGTAAATGATATTTAACCCTTCAAGCCCTAATACCCAAATACAAATTCTTCAAACTAATACTAGATATTTCCTCAAAGAATTAGTTGAGAGAATGAGATATAAAAAATCAAAGCATTTTCCTTTCAATGATCATTTCTTTAATTCTCATAACCTTTAGTCTTGATTTTGTATCGATATCGTGAGGAGAAAGTTGATGTTGGTCACTCTTGGGACTTACAGGGTAAAATGAATAATTAACAATGTATGGTTTAGATGTAGCGTATCACATGGTGGTTCTTCGTCTATTCCTCCTGATAAGGATTGTCATTTAGTGCCGGGGCCAGGCATTTCCCCCGGCTGTTATGAGTATGACACCTGCCCACTTTCTTAGGACACAAAAGGAATTAGAACCAAAAGAACCTCCCAGCTGTTAAATCCCCGCCTTCTAATAAGTGCATATGCACAGCACATTGCTTATCTTGTGATTTACGTTGCATCTCATGCTGGCATTTTGAGCTGATCTTTGCGGATCAGGTGTTTTATTCCAATCTTTGCGGATTCTGGCTCCCACCCCCTCCCTCCCTTTTTTGGGTTTGTCCGTTGGTAAGTATGGGGTCAGGTGAATATTTTCCACTGAATTTCCTTCAGTGTGACGGTGCCGGTTGGCGGCTGCATGCAGGGGTGGTTCCCACTCGCAGGGTTGCCCTGGATACCTCCTTGCTATGCCTGAGGCGCTCAGCAGGCTCCCGTCCAACCATTAAGGCACCAGTTCCCAAGCTCATCCATTGGCGATGAGTTTAACGGCAAATAGTTGACGAGGGGCAAAGACGTATCAATACCAGTAGAAATCGAGAGTAAGCCTTGGTGTAATAATTTCGAGAAAAATAATCTGCTAGTATTATATTGCAAAATTAATATACGAGAGCTTCTGGTAATTTTTATCAAGTATTTAGTGGCCTTAAACTTTTCTTGTTGTTGTTGTTTAAGAGTGATATCTGATATGGATGAACCTCAAGGCAGACTTATGGGTGCTCACGGCTACTGCACGCAGGTTAGATTTTCAATGCAGTACATGTATACTACAATCTTTTTCATTTACGGATATGGATCAATCTGACGACGACGACGACGAGGATGATGATGATGATGATGATTTCCCCGACGTTAATCTTAAATGGAATGAATAGTCTTTGTAGGTTGTGCGTTCGCGTGTCTATTTATTTTAATAGAATGTTCAATATTATAATTTTTTGTATGTCTGCTAACACTATTCTTAGCGCAGTTTTCCCAGGTGCGGTGGTAAGGTGTTCCCTTTGTCACTTGATGTATCTTACAAATGTTTGTTACTTTGTTTGTTTGTCTGTTTCCGTCTTTCTTTCGTTCTTTCTTAGTAGCTGAAATTTCGTCCAGTTTGAGCTTCTTTTTCATTATTTCCTGCAAAAGTCTCATTCTCATTCTTGTTATATGTATTGTCCTTTACAGGAACTGGTGAACCTGTTAATAACTGGAAAGGCTGTGTCAAACACATTCGATAACATCATGGAAGTTGATACAGGGGGTTCGAAAAAGGTGTAGTATTTAAGACGATGTCATGAAGGATATTTTTCATCGTGGTTAATGTGTTTAAAGGGTTCCGTTTGTCGTTTGTCTCAAGATTGTCACTACTGATCGCGACTTTTCGACCGCGTACTGCAGGTCCTCGTCAGGCGATAAAGTTGATTTACTGAGTGAGACTGTTTGTACCCCCACCCCCATGGTTGTTAATGATTCGTGTTCAGTCGACCCCCGTTTTACGGACAGCTATGGCTATGGCTATGGCTCCCTTAGTGTGTGTATTCGCGCGATTCGCCTGTATCACGCACCTAAGGCGATTTTTACTGATACGTGAAAGTTTTTCGTGTCCCTGGAGAAAGGAAGCCCTGACATTTTCTGTTAATTCAACCCGTGTAATACGAACACCCCGTTAATACGGACACTTACTATGGCCCCCTCAGAGTTCGTATTTACTGGGTTTGACTGTGTCACGAACTTATTAAAGAGGATTTTCACTAATGTGTGAAAAAGAATTACAACGATTCAATGTGATAGGCTATCTCGAGAATATCTGAAGGAATTCCCCTTATTCTTTGCGACTGCTGTTGCCTCTTAGTTTTTTTAAACATTCTGTTTAATCTTTCGACGTGAACGTCTTATAGTAAGGTGTTTTGCTTCCCTATAAATGCTAACATTGACCGATCTTTCTGTGTGTGTTTTTTTTAGAATGTCTTCAAAGGGATAGATAAACAAAGTGACATCGGGTTTCTGTCCTTATTTGAACATTACAAATCATGCGAGGTTGGTGATGACTGGAGATATTAGCGAGCTTAAGCAACGACGACGGCAACGGCAACGAGGACGGGAAAAAAGCAATAGGTTTAGAGTCTGTTTATATGGAGGTGGGGGACCCCAGGTAGGGGAGGTAACCCGCTTATAGGTCGGGTAACTCACCTCTCCATATAATCTCTCATTTTAATTTGATCACGTTTACATGATAGGTGGGGTGACCCGCTGCATGTTACCTCACCTATCTGGAGTCCCCCACCGCCATGTAAACAGACCCTTAGATTGGCAAAACAATACGCGTTTTTGTGCATTTCCTTGTCGTCGTCATACGACTACACCGTGAAGGTGCCTAATTTCACGTTTTGTCGAGGACGGAAACACGCGACTTTCTTTTCCTGAACTTTGATACAGTCCTTTAGAATTCAACCACAAAAAAATTTGCCAACATTTAAATAATAATAATAATGAGTCCTTATTTCATCAAAAGATAAAACTGCATATCTTATGTTACAATAATACGGAAGATAAAAAACTATGATAAAAATATCTACGTATATTAAAAAAAAGTATGTGATTACAATAAATTGAGCTTAAAAATCATCCTACTTATACCTTGCGAGCAGAGGCTACATTTTCGCGGTAATAGCTGGCGTGCGAAAAGTAGCTACTTTTCGCACGCCAGCTCATACCGCGAAAATGTAGCCTCTGCTTGCAGGGTATCCTATTTACAAAGGTGTTCATAAAACGCTCTGTATTAATTTTCGGGCGAGCGCAACCTTTTTTCCTGAGATTATGTACATAAGTCTTCTGGACAGGAATGATATCTGTCAGTGGGGGGCAATCCGTTGATATTAATTTCTTTAAAATGTTTCGGTCTGGTTTATTTGAAAGGTTTTTTTTAAAAAAAAAAACTGGAACGAGGTGTTATAAGCGCGATAAAATTTGAGGCAACGCGAATTCACTTTTGAAGTGACTTTTTCGTAATCGTTGCCGTCGTTGTTGCTTAAGCTTCCTATTTCTCTGTGTAGAGAGGAAAGAAGGGGGGCGGGGGTGTGATGAAAGGGGCCGGGAGGTGCTTACCCACTGTCACCGTCTTTAGGCAGTTTAAGCAGCGACGTTTTTGAGCGACGCATGTCAACCGGAAGTGAACCTTTTTTCTTGCAATATGCCTTGACAGTACCAAATTTGTTGTATTGCTATGTGTCTTTTCTCTTATGTGTTCAAAATCACGGCTCAAGAGTGCAAAAAGCATACTTCCGGTTGACGTGCGTCGCTCAAAAACGTCGCTGGTTAAAGTCCCTTCTATGTTTCTGCACACCCCCAAGGCTGCTTCCTGTTCCTCCTTTGTACAAATGTTAAGAGAGTCTTAGTGGAACAGAACTCGTTGTTCTTCTTTAATACATTGAGGCAAACCTTAGGGCGGAGCTCCCGTCCATAATAGTCGACCTTGGAAATGAAAAGACTGTTAGACGTTTTCGTAGCCGTCGCCGTCGCCGTCCTTGTTGCTTATTGCAGGAATTCAATCGTCTGGATAGAGCCAAGCTCTGTAGATAGGCTGGTTGACTTACGTTGGTTTGTAACGTCCCAAGTAGAAAATAAAGGCGACTGAAACAATCCAGATTATTATATGGAAATCAGGCTTAAGGTTTAACCCTTTATGTCCCACGAGTGACCAACATTAATTATCTCCTAACAACATCAGCAGATCATCAAGAGTGAAGGTTATGAGAATTAATAAAGTCATCACTTAAGTGAAAATGCTTTGATCTTAAATCATATTCTCTCAACTTGTTTTTCAAGAAAATGTATGGAGATCATTTTGGAGAATTTTTATGTTGATATTGAGGCTTAAGGTTTAACCGGCGTGTAGTTCAAAGGAGCAGTTTTGCTACCCTTCAGAACAGGCGTTATTTTTCGCGTTTTTCAGGCATGCGCGAAGCGGGCGTGGAGCACGAGACAGTGTGGCGGTGGAAGGCGCAGAAATTGTTTCTTTATTATTATTTTTCCGCGCTTTTCCCTGTCGCGCTTGTTTCGCGCTCCACGCCCTCTTAAACGCGAAAAAAAGCTCCCGTCCTGCATGCTACAGTTGTACTGACAGAAGAAACAAAGAGCAAACTGCGGTGATAAACAGTCCGGAATATCCCTAAATTTAAGGACAGGGCCAACTGGTCACGCGTAACTTTTCAACCAATGAGAAGGCGCGCTTGTGTTTATCAACAAACAAATCAAAACATCGCCCCGGTGATCAAAAATTTTCAAAACAACGGACGGAGTCGGACAGAATCAGTCATCGTTTCGAGGTTCTCAGGCATATTTTTAAGACTTTTCATGAGGCATACACAATTTTTTTAAGTGATCAGCATATCTGAAGCCATATTGGAAGTGTCTCGTGAAATATTCAGCACATTTTGTGGCTTATTCTTCTTTTATCTTTTAAACAACGCGATGTATAGGAGAGATTTTGGTCGGCTTTCAAGGTAGGTGAACAAGTATCCATTATTTTTTCGATTCACAGATTTTTTACGAAGTTCTAGATATTTTACCTCGATTGTCATATCGATTAACTTTTATCATGTTGAATGTGGGGGTGGCAGACAACCTAGAATTTTGGTTGACAATTTTTTAATTCCGAGGTCCAAAACACGTACGTTTTCCACTCCCGGGTTTCTCTCAAAAGCCGTGTTATTACTTTTTTTCGCATTAGTACGAGCCTTTGCCTTTTTTCTTTTCAAGGCCAAAACAACTTTATTAGTCTTATGGATATTCACTAATGTCTTTGCCGAATTTGCGGGGGTGAAATTGAAGATCATAAGCGTAAGGTAGATACTAACCACTTTGTTTCTGAAATTCACTAATATGGAAAGATTTAATGTTGTTGGATTCTCCAAATGTTCATCCGCCGTTAAAAAACAATCAAAGAAACAAGGCAAATCTCAATTGTAAATGCTGTATTTCGCTACTGATTGAACATGCACTGATTATCCGGGATCAAATTAAAACATTGCAGGTACTACAGCAAGCAAGGAAAGCACCAGATGCGTGAAGTCAACACAAAACAGACGAAACAGCACAAAAAAACAAAGAAGAAAAATTAATAAATTTGAACTACTTTCTATTCTTGTTATGATGACTGGTTCTTTGATTCTTGTCCTGTAGAAGTTAATAGGTAGTAACAATGCTGTTTTGTAGTCTTTATACGATCTCAACAAATTTTTACACTCTCTCTAAGGCTATTTTTACAGGGGACGAGTTTGCTTCTATCAAAAACCTTGCAAGCCATGCCAGTGAAGCCACGAGCTCTGCGATCGGTCCGGAAAGAGTTCGAACACCCCAATGATTCCTTGCAATGATTAATGCTCTTATTCTCTTACATGACATGTTTTCTTTGAAATATTAAATGTGAAACCTAGACGAGTACTGTAAGCTCATCTTTAATTCTGTCCGACTCCGTCCGTTGTTTTGAAAATTTTTGATCACTGGGGCGATGTTTTGATTTGTTTGTTGATAAACACAAGCGCGCCATCTCATTGGTTAAAAAGTGGCGCGTGACCAGTTGGACCTGTCCTTAAATTTAGGGATATTCCGGACTGATAAACATAAGGAAATACAAACGCATTTTTGTTTATCACTGCAGTTTGCTTTTTGTTCTTCTTCAGCTTAGATGGCCAAAAAACATGAGTATCAACGATGTACTGACAAACTTCATCATTTCATTTGTTACAGGTTGGTGAGAATTACAAGACTCCCAATTATCCTATTTGGGTGATATGCAGCGAGAGTCACTTCAGTGTCTTGTTCTCTATCGACAGAAACCTCTTGGACGACTGGTAAGCTTATAGTGACTCGTAAATGTCCGTGTTTACTCGAGAGACGGATTATCCGTTGGATAATTCGCGTCAGACAGATAAAAATTAATACGTCTAAATCTGAAAATGGAACGGTCTTAATTTTGGATGGACAATCCGCCTGACTTTATCCATCTGTATTTCCGTCAATTTTGACGGATTTTCAAGATGGATTATCCGTCTCCAGTGTGAAAACAGCCACTGATACCAGCCAATTAACGGCATTTGAACTTATCTTTAGCCTGTTTTGCTCTTCCTAAAGACTTGTATTCTTTGATGTTGTCACTAAAAGCCATTTATGTAGTAATAAGGAGTTTTATTCCTTCCGTTTTATTAAAAACACTGATGGTGTAAAAGAGATACTACGTCCTGGTCACTTGTAGTGCTTTACCGAAGGGTTAGAAAATTACTTCTATCAGCGATCAGTTTACAAGCAAATAATGATGGTCTGAGACCAACTGTATGAAGGAGTGGGAAACTGTCCACCTACCCCTCCCCTAAACCAACGTTAACACTTACTTCTGACTGAGGACAAAATGTTGCCTTAGGGGAAGGGTAGGTGGGCAGTCTCCCAGAAACGTATATTGATCGGATCAAAGCGTGCAAACTCAGAGGCAACGTTTTGGTATTGAGGTTTCTGGGTTACTGACCACCTACCCCTCCCCTAAGTCGACGTTAACTTTTATTTCTCACTAAGGGCAAAATTGTTACATAGGGAAGAGGTAGGTGGTCGAAGCTTTGGGCACCTCCAAGGGAAATTGGACCCGGAGTACTCTTGTTAGACGCTTATACTAAGCTTAGCAAGCCATGGTGCCCACACGACCGAGACTTCTCCCAGTCTCTTTAGTGTGAGAAACCTGGGTGTAATGCTTTCCTCCCCCGCATCTCCCCCGCTAGAAAAGGAAACGTCTGCATGTAGGCTATGGAAGGGTTACCGCTAGCAGGATGTCGCCGGGTTCCGTTAATACACCTGAGTGAGGAGAGACCACGTTAAGGAATGAACGCGATGGCAGGGCTTGAACCCCGAACTACGGATCCGAAGCCAGAGGTCCTTCCAGGCCGGAAGTCCTAGTCATAATTGTTGAAACACTCGCGGATTTGTTCAGTGTTTATACAAAAAAGTCCAAGCAATCTCTTGAAACCAACACTGGGACAAGGAGAGCTCAAGGGAATCAGAGCGTGTATTCGTGGAATGACTTGGTTTATCTTGTTTTTTCAAGATTATGATAATTTCAAGTGATAGTCATTGCAGGATTAGATGTGTGTATAATGTGCTATCTAACTGCAATATAGTAGTCAGCGTAGGCTAACGATTGATTGATTGATTGATTGATCGATTGATATATCAACTGATTGACCAATTGACTGTTGATATACACAGGAGGTTAGAGAAGAAGTTTGACCTTTATTACTATGATGGTCCTGGCACGGCAGGATGAGGAGTTAAGATTGACAGTTGGTGAGCAAGCATTACTTCCTGAAACTGTCGTAGTGTAACTTATATGGTCTTGCTTGGGTACATAGCTGTTACAGGCTAGGTAATGACGTAGAAAAAAGGTATTTCAAGTTCATGAAAAAGTCAAGGAAGTTATTTTGAGTCAGGATAAATTAAAATTCTGCAGAAATGCTAAGGGCAAATTGAAATTATAAAACCACTGGTTTAATACCATTTACGTTTGCAAGAACGTATTTCACGCTAATTCAATTTCAGAGATGTCTTTCGTTAATGAAATTACGATAGCGTCCCTGTATTATGAATGACATCATCCTATTTCAATTGAAAAAGATAAGCAGGCGTTTTGCAAATAAAACAAGAAGAAAGAAAAGAAAAAATCAACACTATGAAAGCGTTTTACAAAGTTGCGTTTTAGGTGCCGGAAAACGCCGTTTACTTCTGAACTGCCCAAGACTTAAAGGAACAAAAAAATGGTTTCAAAAATATTCGGATACGTGTGCACGGAGCCTGAAAGTAATTTCATCTTTCTCTTGATAAAGATACAACAAAAGAATGCCCAGAATACAAGGACACTGATCTTGTGCCTCCACTGGAACACTGCATACGAACAAGGTGAGACCACGTGACAGAGTTCATTGTCAGAAAAGTGGCCTTTTGCATTTGGCCGCGTGGTATAAAAACGCCATCATAAGAGGCAAGAAAGCTACTTGGACAAGAAAGAGAACGTAAATTTCCAAATAAAATAATATAAGGTCTGTTTTTCTTGTCGTCCCAGTGCTTTTCTTGCTCTCCATAGTTTTTGTACCCCGTGATTGATGAGCTTCAAACGGCCCATTATGGGATCATTCTTTAACACAGAGGTGCATTTCAAGGCTCATTTTCAACCATCAGGCAATGTTTGGAGTCATTCAAATTAAACCTCGTCAGCCCTACTTTCACACTTTTCTATATCTTGAGTGTATAGTTCTAAATTTTTAAGTCTGTGGATGAAATCCTAGCTACGGGGGTACCATTCAATTGAACCTCTTTAGCAGTACATGTACTTTCAGATGTTTCTTGTAATTTAGTATGTATCTGTTAAGTTTGAGTCTGTTGAGTCTGTAGAATCGTTGTTTCATAAAAGAAATATTATAAGCCGTCAACGGCAGAACTAAAACTCGATGGAATCACCCTGAAGCGGCCAAAAATGCTAAGAAAACACAATATTTTTAGACAAGGAGACAAGGTAAGGAATTCTGATGTATTTTTATTACTATTTTTAACCCTTAAATAACGATCGCTTAAATCTCCGTACAAACCCTCATAATATTTCTGTTATGCAACAACGATTCTCACTCGTGAGCTTGGGGTACCTGTGGTGATACTGTATGCAATTTTGGTGAGATTCCTACTGTTGTGTGATGTGCGAAGTCGCGCGCGTGTATCAGGATTTGAGTACGGGCCATGATTAGCCTAAAAAACAGCCATTGTGGATTTGCTACTCAGGATGACAGTAAATTCAAAACGCACTTCCGGTAATTTGTTGTATTCGTTGGGGGCCCAGAACTGACAAGGATCTCGGCGCTGCTTCGCATTTTAAGGTACGTCTAAATTGCGTCTTTTCTCGCGCGTCTCAGGACTGGTAAGTCTGTGCCCCCACTTAGCCTTTGGGAAAGCCTGTGGAGCAGGCAGAAGAAAATGCATTATGGCTAATTATAATTACAGTTTTACATTTTTTGTGTATTTCCGTTTTGGGTTGTTGATCCTCTTTGCCGATTTTCGGATTTTGTTATGTTTAATTCTGATCTGTCACAGTTACTGTTTTAGGCTTTTTGTGTCTTTCCCTTTTGGTTGATGTATTAATTCCGTTTCGTGAATTGTGTTCCTGTTTTCTGGTTGTGTATTTGTCTTGTTTTCGCTATTAGCTTACCGTTTTGGCTCGGTGTGTTTCCGTTTTGGGTTTGAGGTTTTCTGTTTTTCTGTTTTGTTTCTATCGGCCACTGTATAAATTAAATCGTTATTCACTGCAATCTAAACTGCAAACCACTGAAGACAACTTTACTAGACAGAGAATTTCCCGAGCAGATTTTACTGAAACCGTTTACCAGGTAGGAAAGATATTCGTTCAATTTGGAATTTTCCGAACCCGAGAAGAAATTTTTTTTTTCTTACAATGTTTTTTTTTTGTCACGTTCCGCTGTACGTAGTTTCCTTAGTTTCCTATCTTCTCCGGCTTTTTATCCCTGGAAATAACTTTTAATTTAGCCTAGGTTGCGACAGCGAAACAAAGTATGTTTGTTCGTTGATTTGTACGGTGTCCCGGACTCGACGTTTAGCTCTGACAGGCGTTTCAAGTTAAGCTTTTTAAGTTTGTTTAAATCATCTTTCCTTGTTACTTCTTACACTGTAGGTGTTGGGGTTTTTAATGTTTTGTGTTTATAAGTGATGACTTCATTGGATATCTTCAAACATTTTTTTTACTGATACATAAATTGCACCTCTTTCAGGAAGAGAAAAATTATACATATCCAATCAGTGGTACGAAAATTTACCCAATTGCAAGGTTCCTGACCTTACTGCTATTCTCTTTGGTTTCCTTTCATCAAGAATTGGTAAGTTTTTGAAAAATAGAAATTTATTTGATTGATTGAAATCGCATTTCTCCTTCCTGTAAGGAGCGTTCCCACCACGACTATGTAGATTCTGCCCATGGCCGGGTGCGTAAATTTGGGGGCAGGGCAGCCAACCTCTGTTGATTATCTGAAGACACTTTAACTAATTTGAATTGTACCTCATTTCAGGGAGAGCTGAGTTATTTCAAGCGGATCATTGCGTCCAAGGTTCGAGACGTACGAGCTGTTTCCCTTCATCATCTGTAACTGGTAAGTTTTAAATAAACATACCTTTAACCGCGTGCAGTATCAATGCATGGTTAGGTCCCTCCAGCATCGAGGCAACCGAGGCAGTTGCCATGGATATAATTTTGAAGTTTCTTGTTTATCTTGCAAAAAATATTTCGCTAAGACGATATATTCTGAAGAAAACAAATTTAGATTTCTTTTTGATATTTCCTCGGAAAGGATATTTGTCTGGCTGGGGACTATATGTGTGGTCTAAGTACTCATATTCATGCAGCTTAAAGCCTTTTATAGAAAGATCGGTCCATGTCATATATCCCTTACAACAAAAGTGGTATAGATAAAACGTATTGGCCTTTACGACAGTGAAATCTAGGGAAGATCTCATACTATTGTTTACAAAGTTAAGTTTGTCTCTAACAAGATAATACGCATTTAAGTTACCTGTCATCTGAATATGATTCTGAAACTCGTTTCAGATAGAGAGGAGAGCTGGAGCCAGAATCTTAAGCTGATCTTTGAGAGGTTTGTGGTGATTAAAAATCATTGTTTTGTCTATTTTGTACAAATTGGCATTAGTTTATTTTTCATTTCATAGCAGTTATGTTGTTTGTTTTGTAATGTCACTTTTTAAGACTTCAGCCCTTCCTGTGTGTATTTGTAAACGACAGTTAGCTCGCTTAACGGTTAGCTCTTGGTTCCACGCACAGTCATTAGGCACTTAAATCAGGCTCTGGATATAATTTGGGAGGCGGACACATGGTATCTTGTAACCTGTATTTTATAAGATTACACATTAAAGCCATGTCCATGCGATCAAGTCCGTTATTAGGTCTGCAAATATGCGTGTTCACAGCTGCCCGTATGCGAACAATATTTATCATTTATCCATTGACTGTTTAATTGACCATTTAATTGTAATCACGCGTTGACGAGCAAACCTGGACTAATTTCATTTTAACCCGAGTACCAATCTCCTCTCAGTCCCCTAGTCGCCTTTAGGAAGAACTGATACTTAAACTATTTATTTAAAGCAAAAATTAGGCAGACGAAAATGCATTATGGCTAATTATAATTACAGTTTTACATTTTTTGTGTGTTTCTGTTTTGGGTTGTTGTTCCTCGTTGTCGATTTTCTGATTTTGTTATATTTAATTCTGATCTGTCACAGTTACCGTTTTAGGCTTTTTGTGTCTTTCCCTTTTGGGTGATGTATTAATTGCGTTTCGGGAATTGTGTTCCTGTTTTCTGGTTGTGCATTTGTCTTGTTTCCGCTATTATATTACCGTTTTGGCTCGTGTGTTTCGGTTTTGGGTTCGAGGCTTTCTGTTTTTCTGTTTTGTTTCTATCGGACACAGTATAAATTAAATCGTTATTCACTGGCATCTAAACTGCAAACCACTGAAGACAACTTTACTAGACGGAGAATTTCCCGAGCAGATTTTACTGAAATCGTTTAACAGGTAGGAAAGATGCTCGTTCAATTTGGAATTTTCCGAACCTGAGAAGAGATTTTTTTTACAATGTTTTTTTTGTCACGTTCCGCTGTACGTAGTTTCCTTAGTTTCCTATCTTCTCCGGCTTTTTATCCCTGGAAATAACGTTTAATTTAGCCTAGGTTGCAACAGCGAAACAAAGTATGTTTGTTCGATAATTTGTAGTGTGTCCCGGACTCGGCGTTTGGCTCTGACAGGCGTTTCAAGTTAAACTTTTAAAGTTTGTTTAAATCATCTTTCCTTGTTACTTCTTACACTGTAGGTTTTGGAGTTTTTAATGTTTTGTGTTATAAGTGATGATTTCATTGGACCTTATAAAACTTATAAAACTAAGGAAACTTGTACTTTTATTCACTATTCTTAATAATCCTGATGCTCCTCTTTGTCTTCAACGTAAATTCAATTTCTTGTTTTCTGTTCGTTCAGCTGGTCTGCGCACCAGAGCTTGTGCTTTTAATCTTCAGGTTCCATACCCTCGGTCTAATTCTGGAAAGCGCACATTTGCTTACTCTGCTGCCACTCTTTTTAATTGCCTTGACACTGATCTTAAGCAAATACGATGTGTATCTCCTTCTTTTATTATATATTCATCTAGATTAAATAATTTTAAGCATAAACTCTTCATCTTATTCCTTAAGTTTGCTAGTAAC